GTTTACATGTGCCCACGTTGGGTCTGCAATAAAATCCTGGCTCACCAGCATGTCTATGACAAAAATTACCCTGGATGTGTTCCGACCTTGTCCAGATCTGGGAGGCTCGGCAAGGTTGATATTTTCTAGCACGTGTATCGGAGGCTTGGAATACCGGGTGTTCAAGGCTTGGGCTGTGAGGTCACCAGGTGATGGCAGTACACGATTGGATTCTGGAATCTTTGTGCCTGGAGTTTGCAATGTTTATTCCCCGTACATGCCGGGGTGTTCTCCTGGCACTTTTAGTTAGTTTACCCCCCACATGTCAATGCCAAATACTCGTTGACGGAATTGGCTACACAGCCCAATAGAGGACACTCCTGAAAGTTAGCCTTGAGCTCAGTGAAGCTTTAATTTATGAATAATGAATGGCATTATTATTTTCACTGTGCAATTATTACAATCATTATTCACGCTACTTCACTAACATTACGTCGTAATCACTGCAATGAAATGCGAATGGGTGAAGTGCACAATTAACTGCAAATAATACTACTAACGGACTGCTATACCCAAGGCTTTCCACCAGTGCTTGTATATGCTTTAATATGGACAGTACAGGTATCCCTCGATGTATGCACGTTCATACGATTTGATTCTTTCGGTAAAGTCACGGAGAAAAATAATAATAATAGATCACGACGTTTCGATCGCCACACAAGCGATCGTCCTCAGGAGGACCTCAGGAGGATGATCGCTTGTGCGATGATCGAAACGCCGCGATCTATGATTATTTTCCTACCGAAAGAACCAAAGAGTATGGATTCCTGCAGTCACGAAAGCTTCGAATCGAGATATGAACGTTCAGTTTATGAAATTTCACATTAGCGCAATGGACAAATCACCGACACTTTTCCACGAACAAGATCACATTTCCGCGTTAACAAAACTTCACTCCGGCCACGCGCCATGAGATCGTCAAACGAGAAGCCACCCAGGTGGCTGCATCATCTTCCATCGGTGACGGCGTCACGGTGCGTCCCTGCAGTGCAGCAGTAACGACTCCACGTCACCTTTACAGTCATCCCTTACACGCAGCACATCTTTTAGGGAGTTCCCTGAAAAGGTTAATGATTTTCGTTTAAAATGAATTATTATTCAATCGTTTGAATGTTTTTTTGTTATTTATTCTTGGTTTTTTTTGTTGCTATTCTTGTTTTTGTAATTTATTTTTTTTAAGTGATATAGGGGTGGTTTATATTTTTAGGCTAGGAGTAGAGTTGGAATGGCTGTCTGAAACACATCCCTGATTTTCAATATTAACTTAATGGGAGAGCCATTGCGATTTACGAAATTTTGTTTTACGCGCATTTGTCAAAGAACGCATCCCTTTCGTGATCCGAGGGATGCCTTTGTATTGTGAACAAATCCCTTGTTGTCATGCACTGCCTACATCACCCCAGAACTGGACATTGCACTCGCGGTAATTTGGCGAGCACCCCAACTATGAACTACACACTTCGACGGCGACCTGCTGCCATCAATGCAGATTAATTTTTTTTCACGCGTTAAATCGGAGTGGTTTCCCCCGCTCAAATTGAGGGTAGGATAGTGCAAATCTCCAGTTTACAACACCAAGCCCAATGGTGGAAACTCTACATTCCTATGGCAGAGGTGAGTCTTTGACCAAGACAACCACTGTTTATTTCCCAAGAAGGCGGCACTTCTTGTTTAGCCCTCCCCACTTAGCTTGACAACAGCGATGTTGCCCGTTTAAGCCAGAGGCCTGTTTATATGCATTGCCTCTTTTGCAAGCGCAAGCCGCAATATTACGGATTTCATTAATGTACGATATGGACAACGATGCACATCGTTTCTAATTTGATGGATGTTACAAGCTCCGTAATATTCTCGTTACTGCAAATATCGCGATGGTATTGATGATTCGCTCTGGAGCCATCAACTCGACGAACACGAGTCGAGCATTAACGTGTCCAATTTTTTGTACCGAATTAAGTTGTTCTGTTGCAATGCATTGATCAGATGGCCAGTTGTGATGACCTCGCTTTTCATTATTTTCTCGTGTAAATTCCAGCAGGGAGGCTGGATGTTGTTTGGACACGTATTGAGAAGAGACAAAGAAGATGCAAGAGAAGGGCTATGGAGATTACAAACCCGTAGATTCACATAGAGAGCCGTAGACTCACATAGAGAGCCGTAGACTCACATAGAGAGCCATAGACTCACACAGAGACCCATAGACTCACATAGAGAGGCATAGACTCGCATAGAGAGCCATAGACTCACATAGAGAGCCATAGACTCACATAGAGAGCCATAGACTCACACAGAGACCCATAGACTCACATAGAGAGCCATAGACTCGCATAGAGAGCCATAGACTCACATAGAGAGCCATAGACTCACATAGAGACATAGACTCACACAGAGACCCATAGACTCACATGTTTGTCTCAGAATAAGATGAAGGAAGATTGTCAACATTGAAGCATGTTCTCCGTGGAAACTGGCTCATTGAAAAGTGTGCTAACCACTGGGCCCTCCAGCCACATGATAAAAAAAAATTGCAGATCAGCCTCGGAAGAAAAGAAAAACACAAGGACAACTATCCAATTATATAGAGGTTACGTGTAACACCTTGGCGACTCAATTCGCAAGCTTGAAATTAATATATATACGTTTAAAAATGGGAGAGATAAAAAAACATTGTGCAGAAACACCTAACGATTGTCAGCTTGTGTTTTGTACAAAGGTGTGCGAATCGTGGTGAGGTTTTTTATTTTCTTTCCTATCGACGTGACTTTACCGAAAAGAACTAACAAAAAGGTTTAAAACAGCATCAGGTCCAGAGGCATCCGGAAGGACCCACTCAAGGGCGTCCCTCCCATACGTCGCCAAAGCTAATGGGGCGAAGGCTTTTTCATTTGCTAATGTGCTAATGACACTTTTTTGCTGCGCGAATGAAAGCTTCTCACTGCGGCTCGTGTTAGGTTCCATAACGTGCCCGCACAAAAACTGCGAGGATAAATAACACTTTCGGCGTCGGAAATGAAGCTGGTACGTTTGCCACAATATACAAGATTCCGGACTAGGAGGTTTTATATATTATTATTTTATTGTTTCCCTTCAACGTGACTTTACCGAAAGAATCAAGCATAAGTTGGGAGTGCTTTGCCTGAAACGAATTGAAGCGAGGGCAATGGCGAGGTTGGGGCGGAGAAGTTGGAAAGAGATCAGAGGTGGTTGTGAGAGATGCTTTTTTTCCATACCATTGCATGCCTCATTATTTTGTGGCGTGATTTTTTTTTCCCAGAAGGGCGAGCGACAATGATACTATTTATACGCCCATGGAAATCGTGGCAATTTTCAGGAGGCACAGATGAATTTAGAAGCATAGCAATTCAGAGACCTTTATAAAAGCCACAATGCCAAGACCATGATCAATAATCCCCCAATGTCTGCAACTCAGATTCACAGCATGTGCTGTCTATTTTAATGGTTCATTGGCCTGAATAATCGCACCTTTCCACGTAAATATATTTTCCCTTGAAACTTTATACACCAAAACACATACACTGCTAAATCTTAGCATACGTCTACTTAGCATACAGGATATTCTTATTTGTATTCTTAATAAGAAAAACAATGCAAAAATCTATTCCTGTCATTAATCTCCAATGCTACATTTTCATGAACAATGTAAGGGTTGCTGATGAACTTGAGAGTTACTCCTGCTGTCCATAATTATAGTACGGTGCACACCAAGGTGTGTGTGTGCAGCAAGGTGAGTGTGTTTGGGTGCAGCAAGGTGTGTGTGTGGGTGCAGCAAGGTTACGCGTATGTGCAGTGAGGTGCGTGTGTGTGTAGCAAGGTGTGCGCGTGTGTGCAGGAGTGCAGCAAGGTGTGTAGGTGTGTGCAGCAAGTTGTGTGCATCATGGTGCGCGTGTGTGTGTGTGCAGCAAGGTGTGTGCGTGCAGCAAGGTGTGTGTGCAGCAAGGTGTGAGTGCAGCAAGGTGTGTGTGCAGTAAGGTGTGAGTGCAGCAAGGTGTGTGTGCAGCAAGGTGTGTGTGCAGCAAGGTGTGTGTGCAGCAAGGTGTGTGTGCGTGTGTGCAGCAAGATGTCAGCGCAGCAAGGTGTGTGTGCAGCAAGGTGTGTGTGCAGCAAGGTGTGTGCGTGTGTGCGCGCACCCATGTGAAGGATGGCTGAGTGATTCGTACACACCCTGTGCAACAAACTCGGCAACCTGAGTTCGATTCTCAGCCACGGCTAAGATCAGTGGCGGGGATATCTGAAACGGTCACGGGCTCTCTTCCTCACCAACTCGCATGATTGCCCATATGGTCAGGGGTCGGCCACCTGTGGCTCAGGAGCCGTGTCCTGTGGCTCTTTAAGGACTGCAGAGCGGCTTTTGAAATTAAAAAAAAATGGCTCTTCATGTTGTTTTGGTTGCCAACCCCTGACTATGGAAGTTCAGTTTACCATGTGGGTTCAGTCTACCATGTGAGTTCAGTTTACCACGGATGTTCAGCTCACCACTGAATTTCACTTTACCATGGGAGTCCAGTTTACCATGGAAGTCCAGTTTAGAATGGTCAGGGGTCGTCAAGCTGTGACTTCGGATCCGCATGCACCTCTTTAAGGACCGCTTCGTGACGTTATTTATTGAGGACCGCGGTCTCGTGTTTACATCGCGTAGCGGCTCTTGAAATATTGTGTGGTTTACCGAATTCGAAAAAAAATGCCTCTTCTTGTGTTTTTTTGAAGTATGGTCAAACAAGCGCGATGACTGACATGATGTGGGGGAGTTCTTCTTTCAGCGGTTGATTGACCAAAGGCTTGTATATAATTATTCTAATTATGATTTGTGCTTACTTATGATTTAGTCTCTGTGGTATTTTCACGAACCTTATCCCAGCTCCCCAGCCCCCACCCCCCCATCCTCTCATTGCCATGGCATTGGGAATACTCACGAAGCCACACTGTCCCCCGTGTCCCGGCAGATACGGAGACATGGTGCCCAAGACCATCGCTGGCAAGATCTTCGGCTCCATCTGCTCCCTGAGCGGCGTGCTGGTGATCGCTCTCCCCGTGCCTGTCATCGTCTCCAACTTCAGCCGCATCTACCACCAGAACCAGCGTGCGGACAAGCGGCGCGCCCAGAAGGTACGGCAGTCCGGTGAAACCGCCCTGCTTGTAGCCCTGCCTGGCGTCGTCTTGACGATGTGCATTGAATATTATTTTTTTTAATTCCACGAACGTACGTACATTACTCGTCTGTTCACGTACTGGGGCGACGATCACCCTGAATCTATGTTGATGTTTTTGTAATTGAATTTTACTACGAATGGTTGTTTAATGTAATTTCGTAACTTTTTGTGTGTGGAAATATGGTTCGTAATGATTATTTTTGTGCTTCGTTTTTTTTCGACTTCTATAATGTGGATGTTTCGTGCTGATTTCTAATTGCTCAGTTGTTGTACTTGTGTTTTTTTACGTTTTTTGCCTTTGTATTGTTAGTGACTCATTTCACCCTTGCAAATGAGACTCTTTCCCGGTTAAACACAACAAACTTGAAACATTGGTGAACTTTATGAATAACGGAGCATAGCCCTCCTCCGGTGTGTTTTCAATAAACCAATTCAAAGACTGTTTGCAAAACGTGAAGGATTTCACCCGTCAGTGGATTTATTTCACTCAAGTATCCGTTAGCCATGCCGACAAGGTCAGACCCGAGACAAGGCACCAGTTAGTTAGTGAATCCTCTTCATGCCCTCCGGGACATAAGGCAGCAATCAGTTCCCTCCACTTCTTCCTGTCCTTGGTAACATGTTGCGCCTCACCCCACAAGAGGTTGGTTAATGCTGTAAGCTCGTCCTTCACTGTCTTGCGCCACGTGGTCTTGGATCTCCCAGGTTTCCTTTTGCCCGCTGGTGTTCATCTTCGGGGCAATTTTTGGTGCACGGCACCAGTTAGATCGTCCCTCAAAGGCAAGTCAAGCAACAGTCCTGATGCAGTGCCCGGCTCTGTACTGCTGATATTGCGTGAACGTTTGTACATATCTAAATTTGCATGTTTTAGAAGAAAGGGGTGTTTCGGTCATTTTTGTATCTTTTTTTTATGGAAAATTAAAGTTTGGGGTGGTATAGATGGATAATAATGTGGACGATTTACAAAAATAATAACTGAAAACATATGGTGCATTATTCGTATAAAAATGTTCCTGTATATACTAAAGACCTACAATTAATATCTGTAGCGGCGTTATTTCACACGGGCAACTAATTTTTTTCCATGTGCCACTTTATTCGTGGAGAACTCCTCGCGTTCAACACCACGCATCTCTGTAGCAACTCTTCCTCTTGTACCGCACGTCCACCACGCTCCGCTCGCTCTCTCGCTCCGCTAGCCTGCTATGTTGCACTCTGCTAGCTCCTCCACTGCTAGCCTATCACTATACACTCTGTTAGCTTCTCCACTGCTAGCCTGTCACTATACACTCTGCTAGCTTCTCCACTGCTAGTCTGTCACTATACACTCTGTTAGCTTCTCCACTGCTAGCCTGTCACTATACACTCTGCTAGCTTCTCTACTGCTAGCCTGTCACTATACACTCTGTTAGCTTCTCCACTGCTAGCCTGTCACTATACACTCTGCTAGCTTCTCTACTGCTAGCCTGTCACTATGCACTCTGCTAGCTCCTCCACTGCTAGCCTGTCACTATACACTCTGATGGCTTCTCTACTGCTAGCCTATCACTATACACTCTGTTAGCTTCTCCACTGCTAGCCTGTCACTATACACTCTGCTAGCTTCTCTACTGCTAGCCTCTCACTATACACTCCGCTAGCTTCTCCACTGCTAGCCTGTCACTATACACTCTGCTAGCTTCTCTACTGCTAGCCTGTCACTATACACTCTGTTAGCTTCTCCACTGCTAGCCTGTCACGATACACTCTGCTGGCTTCTCCACTGCTAGCCTGTCACTATACACTCTGCTAGCTTCTCTACTGCTAGCCTGTCACTATACACTCTGTTAGCTTCTCCACTGCTAGCCTGTCACGATACACTCTGATGGCTTCTCCACTGCTAGCCTGTCACTATACACTCTGCTAGCTTCTCTACTGCTAGCCTGTCACTATACACTCTGTTAGCTTCTCCACTGCTAGCCTGTCACTATACACTCTGCTAGCTTCTCCACTGCTAGCCTGTCACTATACACTCTGCTGGCTTCTCCACTGCTAGCCTGTCGCTATACACTCTGTTAGCTTCTCTACTGCTAGCCTGTCGCTATACACTCTGTTAGCTTCTCTACTGCTAGCCTGTCACTATACACTCTGCTGGCTTCTCCACTGCTAGCCTGTCACTGTACACTCTGATAGCTTCTCCACTGCTAGCCTGTCACTGTACACTCTGCTAGCTTCTCTACTGCTAGCCTGTCGCTATACACTCTGTTAGCTTCTCTACTGCTAGCCTGTCACTATACACTCTGCTAGCTTCTCCACTGCTAGCCTGTCACTATGCACTCTGCTGGCTTCTCCACTGCTAGCCTGTCACTATACACTCTGCTAGCTTCTCCACTGCTAGCCTGTCGCTATACACTCTGCTAGCTTCTCCACTGCTAGTCTGTCACTATACACTCTGCTAGCTTCTCTACTGCTAGCCTCTCACTATACACTCTGCTAGCTTCTCCACTGCTAGCCTGTCACTGTACACTCTGTTAGCTTCTCCACTGCTAGCCTGTCACTATACACTCTGATAGCTTCTCCACTGCTAGCCTGTCACTGTACACTCTGCTAGCTTCTCTACTGCTAGCCTGTCGCTATACACTCTGTTAGCTTCTCCACTGCTAGCCTGTCACTATACACTCTGCTAGCTTCTCTACTGCTAGCCTGTCACTATACACTCTGCTAGCCTCTCACTATATACTCTGCTAGCTTCTCTACTGCTAGCCTGTCACTATACACTCTGCTAGCTTCTCTACTGCTAGCCTGTCACTATACACTCTGCTGGCTTCTCCACTGCTAGCCTGTCGCTATACACTCTGTTAGCTTCTCCACTGCTAGTCTGTCACTATACACTCTGCTAGCTTCTCTACTGCTAGCCTGTCACTGTACACTCTGTTAGCTTCTCCACTGCTAGTCTGTCACTATACACTCTGCTAGCTTCTCTACTGCTAGCCTGTCACTGTACACTCTGTTAGCTTCTCTACTGCTAGCCTGTCACTATACACTCTGCTAGCTTCTCCACTGCTAGCCTATCACTGTACACTCTGCTAGCTTCTCCACTGCTAGCCTGTCACTGTACACTCTGTTAGCTTCTCCACTGCTAGCCTGTCACTATACACTCTGCTAGCTTCTCTACTGCTAGCCTGTCACTATACACTCTGCTAGCTTCTCCACTGCTAGCCTGTCACTATACACTCTGCTAGCTTCTCTACTGCTAGCCTGTCACAATACACTCTGCTAGCTTCTCTACTGCTAGCCTGTCACTATACACTCTGCTAGCTTCTCTACTGCTAGCCTGTCACTATACACTCTGCTAGCTTCTCCACTGCTAGCCTGTCACAATACACTCTGCTAGCTTCTCTACTGCTAGCCTGTCACTATACACTCTGTTAGCTTCTCCACTGCTAGCCTGTCACTATACACTCTGCTAGCTTCTCCACTGCTAGCCTGTCACTATACACTCTGCTAGCTTCTCCACTGCTAGCCTGTCTCACACTCACACTTAGGATTCCGCTAGCCTCTCTACTGCTAGCCTGTCTCACACTCACTCCTTCAACCTCGCCCTTGCATCCAGCGGGGGATCAGCCAACACCGCTGGAGAGGACGAGGTGTGGACAGCGGGGTCCCGGACTTCTTCTCCCTCGTCTTCACTCCAACCAACTCCGCTCACGTTTCCCCGCACATCTGCTTATATCCTCTCACTCATTAATGGCCCTCAGATGGCCCTCATTAACCCTGCATCATCCCGACACCTCCCGCACGTGTTCTCTCCCCTTGTTGCCACTATCGCTCGCCTCCGTGGCGTCTACTCCGCGTCTGCATTTGCAGCCAGTCCTCCAGGAGCGGTTTTCCGCCGCCGGTCCATCACCACGAACCGGGTCCCGCACAGCTGAAGGAAGAGACAGCTCAGGGCTCGACAAGGAGCCGTGTCTCTTCCGCAGTGAACCATGAGCCTCCCGTGGATCCCGTTCGCGCCAAAACGACTAACCCCGCTGCGGCTGGTCCTCCGACTCGGGCTCCGATGGCCAGCCGGGTCGGCTCGCCTTGCATTAGTCGGCCGTGATCCTGTGGGTGTAAGGGAACAAGACTCCTGAGGCACGTCCGCTTGGGGCGGTGCGACAGGCTCGTCGGACGCATCTGACACACGCTGCTTTGGGATGGTAGATGGCGCATCGTAAATCGGTGGCTCAAATTTATTTAGCCGTGATGGGTGCACATGCCACCAGCGTCACCTGAATTGAATACGCACCGAACATCAACGACCTCTACCTGACCTTGCCACGGGCGATGTAGTTTGGATGACGTGACCACCGGCACCACAGGGCAATGGAGCCACGCCTTGTCACCTTCACGCCATGGTTCGCGCGAAGGTTGCATACTCCGCAGGCTGCCTGACGCCGTGGGTCACCTGCATGGGAACTGGTACGCCTGACGCCTTTCCTGGTGGACACACGCCCAATTTCACCAAAGCGGAAGCATCGGGTTCCTATCCATACATCAAATAGAAGGGTGAATATCCCGTGGAGGCGTGTGGAGTTTCAGTTTTTTTCAGTTTCAGTGTCTTTATTTTGGTATAGCCCTGTGAGCCATTCGGCTCTTGAATCGGGTGCAACCACAACAAACTTAAAAAACAAAAACACGAACAAGAAAACATCTTAAAGTGACTATGTGACTGTGCAAACAGAAAATCCATGAGAGAAAAAACAGCAAAATATTCCTGAAAAAAAAGCACCGTACACCACCAACGCTGTGTGCAAAAAATCCCAGTGGGATGCAAGTCAAACAACAACAACAACCACACGAAAACTTAGATTAAGGCCATCAGTCTAACTCCGTACTACAACAAAACAAACATGTCCAAACCAAAAAAAACGTTTTCCAAATCACCAAAAAATAAAGCCATAATTGCAACGTAACAGTGATCACAGGGACTGTGAC